GTGCTGACAGCAGCCCGAGGCGCGTGCTGCCATCCAGGGGTTCAGAGCGCCCACCTCCCAGGGGAAGACCGTGCTCCCAATGGATAGAGTATGCCCACTACTCATGAGACATGTACACATCCCTCCTGACACCATCGCACTGTGACAGTTAGAAATGCACGTTAACGCCAGGAAACAAATCTGGACTATGAACCTGAAGATAGGCAGTATAAACAGTAGTTGAGTGGAATCTAACTGCAACAATCTTTTTTTTCCCCCTTTAAAGTCTACAGAAAATCTGCACATAGACAAGGCAATTAATTCTCATAAAAAACCCACATCCACATAGCCACGGTCTCCATCGGATTCCAGGGTGAGGATCTGATGTGTCACATTCTATTCCACAGGCTCATCTGCTTGTGAGTCTGAGGGGTTCTGATCAATTCTTTCTGGAAATAGTAGCTTCTCACAGACGGTCTCCTTGATCGGTAAATGCTGTGACATTTCATTAGGTTCCGTGAAGAGGGAAGGCGGGACATGCTGGGAAACACATAAATTATATCAGCAACGATTCGGTTACTGCGCTGACACTCTTTAGAAAGGCTTGGGTATAAAGCATGCGGTTGTAAAGTGAAGCACATAAATGTAGGTAAGAAGCATCACCCAGTCCCTGGTGCTAACAGGTATCTTTGTTCCCGACTCTTCGACTCTGCTACTTAGTGATGGCAGGGACCACAGGGATACGGTGTTTACAACGCTGCCATCAATGTCCTAGGAATCCAATGCCTCTTTTCTTTCACTGAAACCTTTGAATTCCTCTTTGAATGTAGGACCACTTGGCCCAGTCCCCTTCTCTGTGCTGCTGTACCGGGAGCCCAGTGTGCACGCTGGGCCCAGACAGAGTGACTCACAAAGGGTGAAAAGAGAATGTCCAGTCTGCAGGAAGGTGTCATGTTTTAAGCGACTTATTTAGAATTGTACATCCCAAGGAAGGCCCTTCCAATTCCCAGGAGAGCAAAAGCAGAGAGAAATTATGCCAAAAAGAACAAGTCATGGTGTGAAATTACCACGCTTGAGGGGAAAGGAAGCTGGGTAGGAAGACATCACGGGGTGGCATGTGGAAAGAACACCCAGGTGGTGCCAACCAGCCAGAGGTGTGACTCCAGGGAATTCCCACCTCTGGATCTCAGCTTTTCCAGAATGAAATGTGGAAATCAGATTGGACGATGGCTATAGTACCCAGCAACTCTAACTGTTCCTGTATTTGAGGTAAACTCAGTTATATCGAGCAGGATATAACCCTATTGAGCCCTTTGGGTAAATGAATAGATCTGGTTGGTTGAGTGGGGTAGGGGGTGGGGGATTATGTATCTGAAAAGAAAAAAATTCCACATTTGAAAACTGTACGATATTAGAATGCCATACCATTAAATTTGCAATTCTGCTCTCTCGAGACGTATATTCTCGTATCATGTAGGTCTTGTCGGCCTAGGTTTAAAAATAAAAAAAGTTGTAACAAGTTTACTTTTATTTACTTTATAATCCTTTCTATTAAACAAAATGCTTACATTTTAGTATAGGTTGTGATGGTGGTATGACGAAAGAACTGCTATTTAACGCTCACCAAGAATTCTGAATTGTTAATTCCAATCCCTATAAATCATAGTAACATCAGATACAAAAATACAAGCAGATTTAATAATTACCATGTAAGAGAAACACAAGCAAGGTTTTACCTTAACAGTAAATATGTATGTGAGTGAGATACGCAAGAGATTTTCCTGTCACAATATTATCTTCACCTACATAACTGCAGCTACTTTTATGTTCCAGGGGGAAAACTACTCCAGCCAGGGCACTTACAAGAATCAACCAATGTGATTACCAGAGAGAAAGGAGGATGGGAGCAGGTAAAAGAGGATAAAGAAGATATTAATGGTCATGGAAGGAGACTTGTAGTGAACACACAATACAACATACAGATATGTATTATAGAACTGTACACTAGAAACCTATATAATTTTATTAACCAATGTCACCCCCAATTAATTCAATAAAAATTTTAAAAAGAAAAAAAAAAGAAAAAGAAGAATCAACAATGAATGCATAAATAAGTGGAACAACAAATCGAGATCTCTCTCTCTCTCACCAATCAACAGAAAAGTTTTAAGTTTTTTAAAGTTAGGTTTGAAAGCAGCAATTTATCATAATTTGTTTTCAGAGGTACTTTTCAATAAAAGAAAACCACAAGATTAAACTCCATAAGGTTTCAGTCTTTCATATCAATAAAGACAGATTAGTGTTCATGTAAAACAATCTAATAACAAAGTATATAAAGTATAAATCATCAGCATCACAGTTCCTATAGATAACTATTCTTTTTTTTAAATAAATTTTTATAGTTCATATTACAAATGTTCCTTTCTCTCCCCCTGCCCCCCCCACTCCATTGCTCCCCTCCACCAGGTTCCCACCCCACCCTCTGCCCTTTCCCCACTCCCCATTGTCCTCATCCATAGGTGCACAGTTTATGTTCAGTCTCTTCTTACATCCCCCTCTCCCCTTTTCCCCAAGAATCGTCAGTTCACTCCCCTTCCATACCTCTGATTCTATTATATTCACCAGTTAATATTGTTCATCAGATTTTTTTTTTAATTTCCTTGGTTTTTAGATTCACTTGTTGATAGTTTGTTGTTCATAATTTTTATCTTATTTACTTTCTCTCCCGAAAGAACCCCCTTCAGCAATTCATATAATTCTGGTTTGGTGGTGATGAACTCCTTTAGCTTTTTTTTTTTATGAGTGAAGCTCTTGATCTGGCCTTCGATTCTGAGTGATAGCTTTGCTGAGTAGATTATCTTTGGCTGTAGGTTCTTATTATTCATCACCTTGAATATTTCTTGCCATTCCCGTCTGGCCTGCATGGTTTCTGTTGAGAAATCAGCTGACAATCGTATAGGTGCTCCTTTATAGGTAACTATCTGCTTTGCTCTTGCTGCTTTTAATATTCTCTGTCTTTTGCTCTTGGAATTTTAATTATGATTTGTCTTGGTGTGGTCCTCTTTGGATTCCTTTTGTTTAGAGTTCTGTGCACTTCCTGGACTTGTAAGTCTAATTCTTTCACCAGAGGGGGAAGTTTTCTGTCACTATTTCTTTCAGTATGTTTTCAATATCTTGCTCTCTCTCATCTTCTAGGACCCCCATAATTCTGATGTTGGTTCACTTGAAGTTGTCCCAGAGTTTTCTTACATTATCTTCAATTTTCTGGATTCTCTTGCCTTCTTGCTTCTGTGGAGGAGTGTCTTCTGGCTCTTTATGTTCCAAATCTTTGACTTGATTCTTGCGATCTTCCATTCCGTTTTTATGACTCTGTATAATATTCTTTATTTCAGATAATGTATTCTTTATTTCTTGTTGATCCCTATCATTTCTTGTTGATTCCTTATTAATTCTAGTTGATCCCTTTTCATATCCTCATAGGTCTTATCGACCTTTTTAGGAAATTCTTGAAAAACCTTATAAGTGTAGATTTGAACTCTATATCCAGTCGCTTTTTGTCCTCCATTTATTTCATTTGTGATATATTTCGTTGTCTTGGCATTTTCGCAACTTTCCTGATGGGGCGGGGTTTCAGGGTAGAGCCTATAGCCTGGCTTCTGTCAGCCCCGCCCTATGGGGTTCCTGGGTCTCAGTAATCCTCAGGGTCTTTCAGTACTCCTTGCAAGAACCTCTGAGAGAAAGGTGCCCTCGCTTTTCGCCTGCTACCAAACAGTCTAGGCCACATGTGTCAAACACAAGGCCCGCGGGCCAAATCCGTCCCGCCAGGCCTTGCAATGTGGCCTGCACCGCGCTGTCATCACTGCACTCCGCTGTGTTTCCATCACAATGACAGTTTATGACTGTTCAGTAAACCATTCGGCCCGCGATTTAGGCTGGATTTTAGATTTTGGCCCCTTCTCTGATTGAGTTCGACATCCCTAGTCTAGGCTCTCCCCCAATGAGCCTGGAACTGGGGTTCAGTTCAGTTGGAAGTGGGGTTGGAGGTGGCGTTCAGAGCAGTCCAGAGCTTTTGCCTCCTTCCCGCCAGGGCAATCCCATGGCACAGCCAACCGTCCCTTCTCTGCGCACACGCCTCCGGGACCTCCTTTCGCCGCTCCCCGGGGGTTCTGCCTTACAGCCCAGCCCCCTATGGATGAGCCTGGGTCCCTGGGGTCTTGCCTAGAACTGGGGTTCAGAGCAGTAGGAACTGGGGTCCAGCACAGTCAGAGCTTTTATCTCCTTCCCACTAGGGAACGCCAGCCAGGCACTCAGCCTCCCTCCTCTCTGGCTCCGTCCTCTCCGCGCGCATCGCATGTCTCTGTACCTTAGGCTTTTACCGCTCCTCCGCTCTTCCTTCTGGCTTTCTCCTTGCTTCTTATTGTAGAATTTCCAATCAGTCGACTTTCCTGTAGTTCTGGGTAATGTCCATTTTATATTTTAGTTGTATTTTATTGAAATTGTTGTGTGCAGCTGCGGCTAGGTGTTTACCTGTGCAGCCATCTTGGATTCTCCTAGATAACTATTCTTAACGTTTAGAAATCTCTACACAAAATCTTATGTAAGATTTTAAGATAATTAACCCAGTAATTTTATCTTTCCAAAGCAGTTAAATATAACTCTCTGGCATTAATTTTAATGACTACATATTTTTCTATTATATGGATATAAAGTAAAAAATCTAATCAATGTCCATTCAATAGGCAGTAAGTGTCCTCCTCCCCTCCTGTTTGAATTACAAACATCATTGCTGCTGAAACTGGTTTGGCTCAGTGCTAGAGCATCAGTCTGTGGACTGAAAGGTCCCAGGTTCGATTCCGGTCAAAGGCATGTACCTTGGTTGCGGGCACATCCCCGGTAGGGGGTGTGTAAGAGGCAGTTGGTTGATGTTTCTCTCTCATCAACGTTTCTAGCTCTCTCTCTCCCTTCCTCTCTGTAAATAAAATATTTATGTTTATTAAAAAAAATTGCTATATACACATTGATTCATATTTGTGGGTTATTGTATATTGAATCTTTTTTAGGGTAATTCCATAAAAACTCAATATTGTTGAGTTAAAACATATGATTTTTAAATTTAGATTGACTTCATCCTTTCTGAAGGAAAAAAATACAGCCTATTTTTAGTATTTTGTTTCCACTTTTAAAAAGAAAAAGGTCATCACAGCCACCATATTATTTCAAGGGGAAAAAACCTTCCCTAGTGCAGGATTTGGGAAACGACCAATCCAATCCCATTCTATGGGCTAGATCCCAGCTCTGCCCCATTAGCTGTCCCATGTGGTTGACGTGAGACAGAGATCACACAGCCCATGTTTCTTTGGGTTGTTAGGAGAGCTAACCATTACCCAACGCCCTAACTGATACTGCAGTCTCGTCTCTAACTCATCACCCCACAAATCTGCAGTTAAAAATTCATTCACAAAGGGCATGCCATGACGAAGCTACTGGAAAAGTTTTCATAGCTCCATTTAAGACCCCCCACCCCGTCCTTTTAAAAAACACTTCATCATTATTGTTTATAAACCTTGTTAACAGTTCCTTTTGCTGGAGCACAAGCTTTCAAACTTTAGAAGAACTTTCCAATATTAGGACATTATGTAAACCAGTAGTTGCCAACCTTTTGGACCTCACAGACCACCAGAGGCCCACGACCACTGGTTGGCGAAAGCTGATGTAAACAATACATACTATAAACAAAGGTAAAAGTTAAAGGACAGTTTTCTTAAACACAGATGAAGTACAAACACAATTTTTTAAGAAGCATCAGACCACAGTAGGGAGTGTCTTGTAGAATAAAGTTTCAGTTGCCAGAACTTTTAGAAAAGACGGAGTGTTTCAGTAATCACAGTCAACAGTGAATATGAAGCATGCCATCCTATTAAATAAAGAGATGATATGCAAATTGACCATCACTCCAACACACAAGATGGCCACCTCCATGAGGACACAAGATGGTTGGCAGGGGAGAGCAGTTGGTGGCAACCAAGCCTGCAGGGGAGGACAGTTGAGGAGGACCGGGCCAGCAGGGGAGGGCAATTGGGGGGGACCACGCCTGCAGGGGAGGGTAGTTGGGAGCAACCAGGCCTGCAGGGGAGGGCAGTTGCAGGGAACCAGATCTGCAGGGGAGGGCAGTTGGGGGCCATCAGGGGGAGAGCAGTTAGGGATGACCAGGTCGGCAGGGGAGGGCAGTAAGGGTGACCAGGCCTGCAGGGAAGGCATTTATGGGTGACCAGGATGGCGGGGGAGGGCAGTTAGGGGCAATTGGGCCAGCAGGCAGGCAAACGGTTGGGAGCCAGCAGTCCTATGAGAGGAATGTCCGACTGCCCTTGAAGGGTCCCAGATTGGAGAGGGTGCAGGCTGGCCTGAGGGACACACACACCCTGTGCACAAATTTTGTGCACCGGGCCTCTGGTAGAATATAAAGCACTGTTCAATTCAAATTCTCACACAGACATGAAACAACACAAACAGACCTAATATCAGTTAGTACATTCATCAAATGAGATTAGATACCTCATGGTAGAGTCTCGTGTCATTCATTCTGATAAGTACCCCATCAATTCTCAAGAAAAACCGCAATAGCAGGAAAAAGCTGGAAGGCATGACTCTCTGAAAGAAAAAAAAAGTGCATGAATATTTCAATTAAAATTAAATATTGTTACTGTGCTAAAAGAAAATGAATTTGTTAAAGCATGGGAGGAGGGCTGAATTAGCATTATATAGGAATCTCTGAACTAGAGATTCTTTGTCCTAGAACTAACTAAGGCCCCAAAACTTGTGTATATTATTTAACATCCTGGTTTCAGTTTTGTAGAATAGAAATATATTTTTTCTAAGTCAAAAGTTATTTATCTTAAAAAGACAACACAGCGCTGGCCAGTGCACCCAGTGGTTAGGATTCCAGCCTGAGCACAGAAGTATCTCAGGTTCAAATCCAGTCAAGAGCATGCACCTTGGTTGCGGGCATATCCCCAGTAGAGGGTATGTAGGAGGCAGTTGATCGATGTTTCTCTCTCATCGATGTTCCTAATTCTCTATCCTTTTCCCTTCCTCTATTTTTTTTTTAAATATATATTTTATTGATTTTGTACAGAGAGGAAGGGAGAGAGATAGAGAGTTAGAAACATCGATGAGAGAGAGTCATCGATCAGTTGCCTCTTGCACAGCCCCTACTGGGGATATGCCCTCAACCAAGGTACATGCCCTTGACCGGAATCGAACCTGGGTCCCTTCAGTCCCCAAGCCGACGCTCTATCCATTGAGCTAAACCGATAGAGCTAAACCGGTCCCGGCTCCCTTCCTCTCTTTAAAAAAAAACAAAAAAACAACAACAATAAAATATATTAAAAAAAAATAAAAAATGGTAGTACTTACAGTAAATGGTGACACCAATAATACCAAAATGAAAGAACCTAGTTCTTTGTTGCTGCTGCCTTTTACTCACTTTATATAAAATAAAGACTCGAGAACTGAACAGGAATGCTCAGAGCCGATTAGATACTGCTAATCGCCTCCAACTGCCCCCCAACTGCTCGCCTCCAACTGCCCCCCCTCTCCCACTGTCCTGATCATCTCCAACTGACCCCCACTGATGTCCTGCTTGCCCCCAACAGGACCCCTGCTGGTCTACTTACCTCCAAAGGCCCCGTCCCCCACCAGCCTGATCACTCACAACTGCCCTCCCCTCTGGCCTCTAACTCCCTCTACCTCGACCCTGCCACCAAAGCTTTGTCCAGAAGAACATCCGGAAGCATATTACCCTTTTATTAGTATACAATAGATAGAGGGCTGGAGCACGGGTGGGGGCTGGCTGCTTTGCCCTGAAGGGTGTCCCAGATCAGGGTGGGGGTTCCCTTGGGGTGTGGGGTGGCCTGGGCAAGGGGCCTGTGGTGGTTTGAGCCTCTCTGGGGGGAGGGGGGCGTGCCAGCCTGGGTGAGGGGCTGAGGGCTGTTTTCAGGCTGGCCTCAGCCCCGTCATGGTGGAAGGTCCTACTGTGGTGCCTGGTCATCCTAGGTGAGGGCTGAAGGCCATTTTCAGGCTGGCCACACCCCTTTCAGGCTGGAGGTCCCCACTGGGGTGCCTGACCAGCCTTGGTGAGGGCTGATGGCTGTTTGCAGGCTGGCCAAGCCCCCCAGCAGGGAGCCTCACCCCATGGGGGCGTGGCCAGCCTGGGTAAGGGGCTGAGGACCAGTATCAGGCTGGCCACGCCCCCTGGCGACCCAGGCTCCCAGCTCTTCCTTTTTTTTCAGCACCTCCTTGAGCAGAGGCCAAGCCCACCTGGCAGCAGGTCTCTGAGATTTATCTATCTTCTATAATTGAAACTTTGTAGCCCTGAGCAGAGACCAGGGCTGGCGGGGATATAAGCACAGGGCAACATTAACCAAGAATAAGGAATAATAAGATAACCCCATGATGATAGTGGCTTAACTGCCTAAGAGTACCCAGCCACAGGCCAAGCTCTTTCCTGCCCTTGACCTCTCCACATCCTGTTCCCTGACCTGGAGTGTTCTGGCCAGCACTTCTAGTCCTCCAGAGCTCAATGCAAACGTGGTGACTTTACAATGGGGCCTTTCCTGCACTGCCTGTCATCACAGATTTCCCTGTTATTCCCTCTCGCATACTCACTACGAATGAACAGGTCAATAACTACATCCATTTATGTGTTTACTTGCATAAAGCCTCTATTTAACTATATGTTCCTCAGTGGTGGGAATACTGGCCTCCTTCAGCAGCAGGCCCCTTAGGAAAGGAGCCAGCACACAGCAGGTGGCCATTAACTGGGGGCTGAACAGAAGAGGCCAGATGCTCGCTGCTGGACAAAGGGCTGAGTCAGATGCACTGGGGTGGGCTAAGCAGCAAGGGACCAAAGGAAGACACAGGAACACAGAGGCAGCACTGAATACAATATGCAACAAGTCGATCTAAAAACACATCATTACCCAGCAGAGTGCTAGTTCAAATGTATGGGAAAGAATGACTTACAACATTCCCTCCAATCCATAATTAGTAAACAGTCACCTGACACAACAGGGAAGCAGACTAAAGCACCATTTCTACACGGCACAATGCAGAGACCAGGAATTAGGGGCCTGTGTTCTAGTCCCAATCCTACCACAATCCACGTGTGGTATTTTAAGAGAGTGGCTCTCTCCTAAGAGCGTCTGGAATGCTGTCGTGAGCAACAGTGATGAGCAATCGGCACCAACATTCAGGAGTTAAGGACCAGAGACGGTCGCTGTTCTGTAGTGCACAGGACGACCCTATCCAACAAAGTCCAACCCTGCACCCCACAGACTTCCACATCTCTCACCTGGCATCTATCTAACCTCAGAACCTAATTCCATTTTACATATAAATAAAAACCCACTCAATTATTCATAAAGGCATTGGCCTTTTAAATCAAGAGAGATTATACTGCGTTTTGTTTGGAATTTTGTTATTTCACTACTTTGAAAAATGCATCATTGGAATGCCAACCTGTCATCTGAGTCACTGACTGCCAGCATTTCTGTCGGCCTACATCTGTAACTGTCACACCCACAGTGACTCAATACGCGCACATAAGCACCTGGCAACTTCATCATGTCACCTAGTGGTCATACTATGCACTTACCTAGTGAAATGCATCACATTTTATTCCAAGTCAATTTATTTTTAATTTATAATTAGGACATTTTGTTAATTTACTGAAAAGTAGTACTTTATGAATTTCACTCCAGGGTAGTAAATAGGAGAAGGTATTTATAGTACTTGGTTAAAAATAAATAAAAAATGGAGTGATGGGTCTGATGAGATGGCAAACCAGTAACTTAGAGCAAGTCACTGAACCACCCAGGTCTCCTCCTCCAACTTAAAAGTGGGGCGTAAGGAATGGCCTCAGGCTCTCTCTGTAAAGTCCCCATGACTTTAACCAGGGCCCCTGCACCAGCACTGCGGAGTCCTCAGCGCCCTCCTCCATGGGACATGTCCTCCCCTCGACTCTCGGGCACCACATCTCTGCATTCTCCAGACGCCCCTGCTTCTCAGCTAGTCTCTGCTTCCATACAAGGGAACGTCATTGGTCCACACTCATCACCTCCAAGTACAGTAAGTGAGAAGAAAAACGTCTCACAATGATGATTACTCTTCAGTTTGTTCAGTTTGAGACTATTTACTCTGGTACACACATGCTCCATTTATGCCCACACCCTCTCCAACACTTTCACCCACACAAACATACGTGCTCCCCACATGCCTACCCACTTGTATACATCGCAGACATACCCACCCACTTGGTTACAAGTGCCCAATCAGATATGCACATCATAATGAACATTCCACACCGTCAGCTCTGTGAGTGGGTAGACAAATGGAAAGGTACATGACTCAGTGAGTCAGCATGAACAAATCTAAATGACAAAGATAAACTGGGGGAGAATGATGGGTGAACAGGGAGTGGGGTGCTCAGAAAACAGTGATGTAATGCTAGAAATATAGAGATATTGGGTCAAAGAAAGCAGTACTAATTAGTTACCCCAACTTAGATAAACTAGTCTTTTGGGAAGTCTAAATACAGAGGCTACACTAAATGATTCTGTAAAAATTCATCACAATTCCAAAATCCTAGGATTCTACAGAAATCTTAATTTTAAAATAAATTTACTGCTGCTTTTGATTTATTGTTTTCATTCTTAACTAGAAGCCTGATGCATGAATTCGTGCACGGGTATGGTCTCTCGGCTTGGTCAGCAATGAAGGCCCATTGGAGCCAGCTGGCTTCAGGGAATGGAGGGAGACCGAGAGAGGTTGGCTGGCGGTGAGAGACTAGCTGTGGGAGTGCACTGACCACCAGGCAGTAGCTCCTGCATTGAGCATCTGTCCCCTGGTGGTCAGTGCGTGTCATAGCTACCAGCCGATGGTCCAGTCCTAATGGTCACTTAGGCTTTTATATATATCAATTATTGTTTAAGCCACAAAACTCACTATCACTGTGCTTCGAGAACAATGTTTGATGCTGGGCCCATCTTTGACAGACCTTATGATAAGTGCTATAATGGGGGTGTTAAAAATAATGTATTTTGGAGTATGGACCAGGGATATTTCACTCTGCTGTGGAGGACCTCATAGAGGAGTGACATTTTAGCTAGGTGTTAAAGGATAAGGCATTTAATAAAAAGTTGTGGTTTTTCTGGAAAATGTTAAGAAACCAATTACAACCTAATAGTAAACAAATATGAGTAACTGCTGCGGTGGCCTGTCTGTTTTCTTTTTACGTATATGTTTCACCAACAGCACTGGTAATGGAAGCAGTCCATCCTCCAAAGGAACCGATACTTGTCACTCCGGTTTTCACGTGGATGCTAGAAACTGAAGTATAGTTTATGGGGCACTGAGTCCTGACACACGGTCACTTCCTTAAATAGTATCCACCTTGCTGTCTGCTCAGTCTCTCCACATTGTTTTTAATTCAAACTATGAAAATTAAGTCATAATTTTCATTCAAATTACATAATAAGCAAACAAAGTACAAAGTGACCAGGCAGGTCTTTAAAAAAATGCTTTGCTAAAGTCTTAACAATATATTAAGATTTTGTGAATTTTATAACAGATAATTAGTAAGATATACTCTAGACTCAAATGAAACTTTACATGATATCATATTAAGACGGTACAACTCAAAGTGAGTCATAGTTTTGACCAATAGTAGAAACAGAAGAAATTTAAACAAAAATCACAATACTCACAATTTTCACACTTAGGCTTGACACTCCATGATCATGAAGTTCATCCTCAAACAGGAGAACTTCTTCAAAAAACTTAATCTGCTCTCTGGCTTTCAATTTCTCTGTATCTATATGATCTGTCGTAGGCACAACCTGAAAGAAAAATGCCCGAAGGAGCACATTAAAATCTTTCTGAGGAGCCGGAGACACAGGAAAGTAGCTAATGCCACTCCACAGCCTCCAGGAGGCTCTTCCTAAGTCAGCCCGAAGGCATCACCATCCTTACTGCATCGAGTTAAAACAAGTTCCCGAAATTTCCTCACTCTTGGCAACCATGTGCCAGAGCTCCGCCACCCACCACCAATTTACAGAGTTCTTCAATCAGGAGTGAGGAGAGAAGACGTGAACCTCTGAAGCATTATAAAAGTCAGACAAACCTTGCTTCCCATGAGACTGCAAAGGAGGGATTTTTGTCTGTCCCATGTATCCAGGGCTCCTAGGATTACTGCCCAGCACACAGTAAGAGCTCAAGAATGAATGAATGTATGCATGGGTTCTCAAAAACTGTGTTTTTGTCTTGGAAGCAATATAAAATAGTTAATGCTTGGAATATAGGAGTGGCATGAACTCCAGCTTCCTAAGATTCTAACAATGTCCACAAAGATAGGTGCCCCCCTCCTTACATTTCTGCCTGAACACCCACATATGGCCGAAACCGGTTTGGCTCAATGGAGAGACTGAAAGGTCCCAGGTTGGATTCCGGTTGCGGGCACATCCCATAGGGCATGTGCAGGAGGCAGCTGGTCAATGATTCTCTCTCATCGATGTTTCTAGCCCTCTATCCTTCTCCCTTCCTCTCTGTGAAAAATCAATAAAATATATTTTTAAAAAAACAAAAAACAAAAAACCCCACATATGATATGGGGACTCCAATAATTACTTTAAAAATATATTTTATTGATTTTTTTACACGAAGGAAGGGAGAGAGATAGTTAGAAACATCGATGATAGAGAAACATCAATTAGCTGCCTCCTTTACACTCCCTATTGGGTATATGCCCACAAACAAGGTACATGCCCTTGATCGGAATTGAACCTGGGACCCTTGAGTCCACAGGCCGACACTATCTACTGAGCCAAACCAGTTAGGGCTCCAGTAACTACTTTTAATGAAAATAGTTCCAGTGAAATACATTTTGTTCTCTATAACAAAGTGTGATATTTAGAAACTGCAAACTAAGCCAAATTTCCCTCATTTCAGTCATACTGTAAGATTTAAAAATAAATAATAAGCAAACAAAACCAATAAATAATAAGCAGATAAAGCTCCCAATATGAGACCTACCTATTCCGCCTTCTTTGTATATTTATCATGAAGTAATCTACCCTACGCAGGGCTTATAAAGAAGCAATTTAACATTCACATGGAGCTTCCGAATCTGTTGGGGGCTTTCCCATCGATGACCTCGTATCAAAACTCTGCCGTGAGGCAGACATTTCTGTTTACCTATTTACTGATGAGATTAAGTAACTCCCCTAAGATCATACCAGTTCACACATAGTACACAGGACAGAAGTCCCATCTGCCCACATCTCTATTCAACTGTACACCTGGGAGCTGCTGCCAGCAGGTCTGTCCAAAGCAGCGGTTGCCAACTGGTGGTGCGCGGACTATGGCGGTCCATGAGGTCCGAAAGGTTGGCAGCCACTGGTCTAAAGCACACGCCTGAACACCTCTCTACAGTGACTTGTAGGAAGCGGTTATAGGGTTAAGCCTCGGAATGACCTGCTGGCAAAGTCCCAAACAAGTCCCAGCTTGGAGGGCACAGCCCTCTAAGCATAATTAAGCTTGATCTTGCAACTGCTCCCCAGATCTTTCCTGGGTAGCTAGTGAGCTGTGGGGGGGCAGCAAGTGCTGCCAAAACAACTGAAACTTACAAGAACATCGCAGATTACCTTGTTTGTTCCTGGCCATAAAATAAGCCTCAGCTGTGCTGTTTGGATCTGTTCTGCGGCCTCAGCCAGGCACAGAAGGTCCACCTAGACCCAGCCTTTCCTCTTTGTCTATCACTTCTCCATCCTTCCTCGCCCCGGCTCAGGCTCGCCGAACCCTTCGATGTGCTGGCGCAGCACAGTGACAACATTAAGGCATCAAACCACATGTAATTAAAATCCCTCCACTTTATTTCCTGCTGATAATCAATAAGCAGAATCCCCTCATGTTTGGTTCTGAAGCCCCCACAACAGAAATAAACAGGTGAAAATAGTAAAAAACAAGCCATTACTAGGAAGTTTTAATGCCAAGACCATCCAAGATAATTGATGACTCATAAAAGCAAAAAATAACAGTTACCTTTAGCTTGAGGGCATCTCCCAGTAACGTCCCCTTATAGTCTGTTGTAAAGGTCCAATCGTATGGTTTAATGACTTCCTTGGAGTGCTCACCCTCCGACCTCAAATACCAAATGAGAAGGACCAGATTTAGTGATGCAGATCGTCTGCATTCATTATCACACCAAACTACATTCCACACACAATGTAAAACATCCTACTCCATACACTTGTCAGCATTCACTAACACAGGCCTTTTTGCTTCCTGCACACTTACTGCAGTTTAACTTGTCACAGGCTATGTAGTCTTTCCAGTTAGTCCTCTACACTGCATGAGGGCCTTTTTTTAAAGCCCTTATCCTTTGTATCCTACAAGGTACCCAGTACATAACAGGCACCAAGTACATAGCATCTGATTTGACTATCAAATAAGTTTTTCTTAATTTCAAAGATCCTCAAATTTTCAATGCAAATCACAGCGTTTTTCTTAAAAAACAGGAACCTTCAAGCACACCGTGTACTCTTCACTAAGGAACACTAAACGCTCAAAACAAACTCCACAGAGCTCAGCTCAAATGTTATGCAATTAACTCAACAAGCATGTAAGAGAGATGGGGTAACTAATCTCCATGTTGTATAAGAGAAAGATGAATTTTAGAATAATTCAATTACAAAGTTTAATAATAATCCTAGCCCCTCATTCTAATATCGTGACTGAATATTTCTTTCCGCTCTCTCCTCGGTTTTACCCACAGCTGCCGGACTCTCACCTGCTCTCCTGCCACTCCTCCGCGCAGGCCACTTTAAGCATTCCTTGGTAGTTGTTTACACATCTTAAAACATGTGTAGCATTGAACTCAATCTCCAAGACAGAACCATGCTGGATTTTTAAAATGTTGTCTCCAAACATCATTTCGGGGAGGGATGGCATGTGCAATTCATCAGCTAACCTACGCACAACCAGAGGGCGGGCAGGATTATTTCATATCGCTGTTGACACTTTGGTTTCCTTTTCTTCCCTACATTACTGAGTTAATTAACATGATATATTTTGTACAACCTATAAGTGCTTCAATCATCTATTCTCTCTATGTCTATCTGTTTTTTTAACCTTCACCTGAGGGGAGATTTTAAATATATTTTAGAGACAGGAAGGCGGGAGAGAGAGAGAAAGAGAAAGAGAAAGAGAAAGAGAGAGAGAGAGAGAGAGAGAGAGAGAGAGAGAGAGAGAGAGAGAGAGAGAGAGAGAGAAACATCCATCAGTTGTCTCCCGTATGTGCCCGTCTGGAGAGAGATCCCACAACTTAGGTATGTGCCCTGACTGGGAACTGAATCCAAAACCTTGGTGGTGCACAGCACCATGCTCCAACTGACTGAGCCACCCGGCCAGGGCTGCAGACTTACTAATGGGTTACAAAACAGACAGTAAAGAGAGAAGTAAGTAAATAATATATTATCGGCTACTGTTAAGTGACATAAAGAATAAAGGAAGGCGCCGAAACCGGTTTGGCTCAGTGGATAGAGTGTTGGCCTGCGGACTGAAGGGTCCCAGGTTCAATTCCAGTCAAGGGCATGTACTGTGGTTGCGGACACGTCTCCACTCGGGGGGGGGGGGGTGCAGGAAGCAGCTGATCGATGGTTCTCTCTCATTGATGTTTCTAACTATCCCTCTCTCTTCCTCTCTGTGAAAAATCAATTAAGTATGTATTAAAAAATATATATAATAAAAAATAAAGAAATGCAATGGTGGGCCTATTTTTGGTAAGATGGTCAGAGATCGTTTCTGAGATAGAATTTGAGCCTCAAAACTATCAATACCTTGTGAGCTGAGAAACACCGAGTTTAGGTACCTAATGACCGATTACAGAGCCAGGAAGTAGTAATACCAGGCCTCCTCCATTATGCCAGCTGCTTTATAAATGCTTGTGCCTTGCCCTGCCTCACCCAGCCAGCATGGCTCAGTGGTGGAGAGTCAACCTATGAACCAGGAGGTCACAGTTCAATTCCTGGTCAGGGCACATGCCTGGGTTGCAAGCTCAATCCCCATCTGCAGTGTGGGACATGCAGGAGGCAGCCAATCAATGATTCTCATCATTGATATTTCTCTCTCTCTCTTTCCTTTTCCCTTCCTCTCTGAAATAAAAATATATATACTTAAAATAAATAAATACTTGCCCCTCATTTAGCCAATCTCATTAGAAAAGAAAGTTTTATTTGACACACTATGAAGCCAGGATCACAAATTATTAATCCACGGGTGTGTTTTGATTTGCCTGAACAATATCTGAAATAGTTGCCACAATGATGTGCTCGGAGCACATATACCAAAACTGGAACAAAACAGAGATTAGCATAGCAGGAGCTATGCAAGGATGATATGCAAATTCATGAAGCATTCCATATTTTTAAAAAAACACAACACAATGATTGAGAGATAGTTTTCAACAAAAATTGAGAGTCTTTTGAGGAATCTGGACTTCTGGTTTCTTTTTTTCTTTTTTTTTTTTTTTTTTTTGACAGAAGAAAAAGAAGAAGACGACGACGACGACGACGACCACCACCACCACCACCCCCACCACCACCACCACCACCACCACGACTGGCAGTATTAGGCCTGGCAATCCACACAGCACTGACAGGCTGAAGCTGAGTAGAGGCTGCCCCTTAACTGGGGCCTCAGTGGTGCACCAGACCCCTTACCCCTTAAGAAAGTTGAGTTTATAAAGGTTTTTAAGTGGAAGCTACTCACTTCTGAAAAAAGCAGCTAAATACAGTATATAAATCACCATGCCCATGACCCATCACCTCATTGTAACACAATGGTCAAATGACCCATCACCTCAGTCAAAACCAGGACTTTCAATTTAGAGATGCAAGTTTGGCTTCTCAACCAAAAGCAATTATCTATGGGCTGGCAGGAGCCCTTCAATTTTAGCCGGAGAATTCTTGCTGAATTGAATCATGGCCAAGAAGTATACTCTGACCTCTCTTTTCATAAGTCTGAATGACAGCCAAAGGAAGCACAGATCAAGAGAGGTGACAGAAAAGAGCAGCCTGAGGTGGAGAGGGTGAAAAAGTTAAATAACAGCAAGGGAAGCAGAGAGAAGAAAGCAGAGATGGAGAAATCCTATATAATAAAAGCCTAATGTGCATATAGTCGAATGGCAGAGCAACTGGTCGCTATGGTGCACACTGACCACCAGAGGTCAGATGCTCAATGCAGGAGGCAGTGTTAAGGAGCAGTGAGCCAGGCTCATGACTGGCGAGCACAGTGGTGGTACCGGGAACCTCTCCCACCTCCACAGCAGGTGGGCAGTAAGGAGGGTCCCAGACTGCAAGAGCCCCGGACTGCAAGAGGGATGTCCGACTGCTGGCTTAGGCCCGATCCCCCCAGGGGTTCCGGCCTGTGAGAGGGCGCAGGCCGGGCTGAGGGACCCCCTGACTCCCCAGTGCATGAATCTTGTGCACTTTATTGCTGGAGGCCACAAGAACTGCTGCTATTTCCTGAGACAATTCCTGTGTTTAATTTTCTCCTCACTTACTATTAAATTCCCATCATTTAAGGCAGCTTGGGTCTCTGATCCTTGTAACCTGAAAGCAGAGGTTCCATGGAAGTGAATTTTCCAGTTACTCTATGTTAGGGGTGTCGAACTCAATCAGAGAAGGGGCCAAAATCTAAAATCCAGCCTAAATCGCGGGCCAAATGGTTTACTGAACAGTCATAAACTGTCATTGTGATGGAAACGCAGCGGAGTGCAGTGATGACAGCGCGGTGCGGGCCACATTGCAAGGCCTGGCGGGACGGATTTGGCCCGCGGGCCTTGTGTTTGACACATGTGCTCTATGTACCAAATTATTTTATGGAAATTTTTCAAAATGTATTATAGACTTTTCTGTGTTCTTAAACCGAAAACAGAAAATATTATTTAACTTTTTCTTGTTTATCAGAGATCATCACATTTAAGATTCTTATAAGATACCCAAGTTCGATTGAGTGTGTACACCCCTACTAGTCCTATGACATATTCCAGGCACATACGTAAAAGAATCACTGTCACTAACTTACACTGTCTCAAATGTTCTAAATTTAGACTATCTTAACCACTGGCCAAACATAGTATCTTAACACTATTTTTTTCTCTTTTAAAAAAAATTTATTTGTATTGATTTCAGAGAGAGGAGGAGAAACATAAGGAGAATTATTGATCGGCTGCCTCCTGCACGCCCCCTATTGGGGAACTGAATCTGAAACTCAGGCAAATGCCCCAACCAAGAATCCAAATATGACCTCCGGGTCATAGGTCGACACTCAACCACTGAGCAACACACACTGGGTTTAATGCCATTTTTTTTAAATATATATTTTATTGATTTTGTACAGAGAGGAAGGGAGAGAGATAGTTAGAAACATCAATGAGAGACATGATCAGCTGCCTCTTGCACACCCCTTACTGGAGATATGTTCGCAACCAAGGTACATGCCCTTGACGGGAATCGAACCTAGGACCTTTTAGTCCCCAAGCCAACGCTCTATCCATTGAGCCAAACCAGTCTTGGCTAATGCCATTTCTAAGGCCAAGCTTCACTCTTAACAAATAGGTATTACCATTAGGAAGGCAGGAAGGCAGGAAGCCTCTATGGGATTTTATATGTCTTAAATCATTAAAGAAAGCGTCCTTAATCCAACACTTCCCCTAATCCATTTATTTAGCACCCTGGAGGTTTTAACGCCCTGGGTGATACATCACAGAAAATTTAGACTGGGTGAAGGTCTAGCCTTTCTTTTGTCATAGCAAGGACTACGTAGTATACTCTGGCAGATCTATTTTAGAAATAACAAATAAGGAGATTAAAGACCTGGGATTTGAATGCCTTTAAAATTCACCATGCATCCAGCCCCTCTTGGAGTCTGGAAGTAAATTACAGGGTAAACACCACTGGAAGCTGACTGCTTTATACATGCACAAGTTTATCTCTATGGTGAGATAGTAACAGAGAAGGTGATAAGGAGATGAAAACCCTGATAGTAAATCAATGTACGGTGGAAAGAAGGGAATTATTTTTCCCTTTCTTTTCTGCATTTTCTTTATTTTTCTTAGTGAATCTGCAAGAATATTACTTTATTAATGTATTTATTTATAACTAGACAGCTAAATATTCTTTTAAGACTCCCTCTCTTCCCTGCCCCTCCTCCTCACTTCTCTCTACTTCAATCTTAAAAGGCCAGTGCTCCCTAGGGTTCCATATCATGACCTTTTCCTTCTCTCCTAGAAGATGGTTTTCACTCACTCCCAAGGCTCAATTACAAGGTGATGATTCCCAAACAAGCCTTTTGTTTTTTACTGATTTTTAGAGAGAAAGGATTCAGTCACACCGCAGGGCTGTGTGTTGGTGGCTGTCATTTTTTTTATTTGACAATCTAAAAAGTCAGGTATTACATGTTCTAAAAATTCTTGCGGCACCCTGGTTGAAAATCCCTGTTTCAGAGTCTACAGCTGATGATGTCGCTCCTTTGTATGATCCCTGTGGTGGTCCGATAAAATTCATCTCTTTAACCTGTACCCTAAAAGCTGTCTCGGTGATGTCTGCACCGCCAGCGCCGGCTCCCCTTCTCACTCCGGCCCCTCTGGACCTCCAAGCTCCGACCACACAGAAGTGGTTCTCCCAGCAACTCAGGGCTCTTCTCAGACCTGCGCTTGGTCAAGATTCAGCGCAGGCTGAGACCGGTTTGGCTCAATGGATAGAGCGTCGGCTTGGGGACTGAAGGGCCCGGGTTCGATTCCGGTCAGGGGCATGTACCTTGGTTGCGGGCATATCCCCGGTGGGGGGTGTGCAGGAGGCAGCTGATCGGTGACTCTCTCTCATCGATGTTTCTAACTCTCTATCTCTCTCCCTTCCTCTTTGTACAAAATCAATAAAATATATAAAAAAAAAAAAAAAAAAAAAAAAAAGATTCAGCGCAGGCAGCGCCGGTGCTCACCGCTGGGACCCCTGCTTTCCAGGAGCCCCCACCGCGCCTCATCCCACCGCCGTGATCGAGGTTCGGTGCAGGCATCCCAGCCTCCCGGATGCCCCGTCCGCCGACAGGAGCTCCAAACCCCGCGCGCCTCTGAGCCAGTTACTCGCGCCGGGCATCGCCGTCTGCCTCCGGAGACCCTGCATCGCTAAGGCAGAGGCCGGCTTTCCCACCTTCCGCATCTCCAGCGCCTGCCCTGACGTGCTAAAAACCAAGCAAGCATGTCCTCCCCGTCACTGACGCCAAGGAAACAGGTCAGGACCCCTCAGGAAGGAAAGATGCAAAGGTGACGGGGCAGAGACCTGGGGCAGGTGGGGGCAGAGATCCTCCGAAACAGCCAGGCGCCACTCAGACCCGGTCGAGCGACAGATTCACGCAGGCGAACCTCACCGAGGGGCGGAGGGGCGATGCGAACATGGACCGAGGCTGCCAGTCAGGGGCCTGGCCTCCGCCCCGGGGAAGGTGGGGGCTGCGCGGGGCCGCCCTGCTCTCGCCCAGCCCAGCCCAGCCCTCGGCTCCCGACCCCCGACCCCCGACCCGCGCCCCGCGCCCCGCGCCCCGCTCCGGGCCCGGAACCTCACTTCTCCACATCCGCCGACTTCATGATGTGGGTCTTGGTGGCCGTCAGCGTCCAGGGCCCAAAGGAGAAGTCCCGGTGGCTGCTCTGGAAGCCGTGGATCATCATGGCCGCGGCGGGGGCGGCGCGGAGCGGGCTGGAGCGGCGGCGGCAGCGGACACCGGTTTCCCCGCCTCTGCGGCCCGGCCCTCTGGGCTTGCAGGCCGTTACCATGCCCCGCCCCGCCCCGCCGTCCGCCCCGACGCCCGCCCTTCTTTCCGCCCTCTTCTCCGCCCTGCGCTTTTTGCTTCCGGGAGCAGGCGCCAAGGTTGCGTGACCCACGTCTACGTCACGACGCACCGGAAAAGGGGCGGGGAAACCAGGTGAGGGGCTGGGCTTCGGCCTCGGGGGCGTGGTCAGCGTCGTGCCGCCCCCGGAACTCCTTGGGTGACGTCATCTAGGGGCGTTTCCTGACCGGGAGAGCCTGGGGCTTGGTCAGCGGTGGAAGGCCAGACTGATGGACCCGCTGGGCCCAGGCAAGGCCTGCGAGGAGCCCAGAGGTGGTTGGCGGGAGGAAGCCCAGGGAGACAGGGGACCCCTCGGGAGCACAGTAGGCAACCAGAGACACTCCTGCTCCCACGGGGAAGATAAACATGGAGAGAGCGCAGGTGCTATCCAGGCTGGAAGATCCAGCCACAGATCTGAGGCCAAAGAGCAGGACTTGGGCAGTACCGCATGAGAGAGGAAGGCAGAACCCCAGCCACAAGAAGTTGTTGGGCAGGTAGGCAATGTGTCAAAGCATCAAGCAAAGGCTCAGTCATAGAGGAGCAGGGAAAGAACTTAGATCCCAAGTTGGGAATGCACTTTCCTTTTTCTCATGCTTATGGTTAGATCGAGTTCCACCTCCACCACCCTCCCCCCCTCCCCATCCCCTGTTACAAAACCTTGGGGGTGCCCTGGCCAGGGAACTCAGTTGGTTAGACCTTTGTCCTGATATGCTAAGGTTGTGGGTTCGATGCCAGGTCAGAGCACATGCAAGAACCAACCAATGAATGCATAAATGAGTAGAACAACAAATTGATGTTTCTCTCACGCACACCAATAACTGCATTTTTTAAAATAAAAGAAAAACCTTGGTAAAGTCTCTGTGGGAAACCACCTACTTATTGTCTTCACTAGCAGAGAAGTGTGGACAAGAAGCCTGGGATGCTGGTGACCCTTGAGCCCTGGCAAAGGTCAGAGCTGCACCAACTGTTTAGTGGAGACAATGATGGCTGAAGCAACTTCCCCACCAGACAGTCATGTAAATCCTTACTGATAAGATTGCCTGTTACTGGACATTGCCTGCCTAAGGGCTATAGGAGGATCCCAAACGGAATAAAAGGATGGCAAGGCCGAGCCCAAGCAGAGTCCTTCCTCTTGGGATGGGCTCCCACCCGGCCCCCCAATTTCCAAATTATTATTTCTTATCTGGTCTCTGTCATTTGCATGCAGCCCCTTCTCCAGATCCCGAACCCTGAACCACACGGGACGTGGGTCTTTCACATCTGTTCCTTACAAGCAAAGAGCTCTGTGGAAACAATGGGCTACCTTCAACATCTCCTTGAGTTTGCCCTCCCCTCAACCCTTCATCCCCCAAATATGCACATAAAATATATAAGGGAGGCCACGTTCTGTGGAGGGCAGGGAGGAGACAGAATAAGAATTCTTGCTGTGGGGAACTTACAAGGGAAGAAGGGCATGCTAGAGATGAGAATATAAATATTTCAGCAGAGTAATAGGGTAGGGAGATAGGGTATAGAAGACCCATAGGATTTGAAGAGCTGAGAGAAGAGCAGAGTTGATTGCATCCAAATTTATTTTTAAAAAGGAAACATTGCCTACTCTCAACTTGTGGCATGACTTGGAGATAAAAGGAACCCATTAGTAAAGGAGAAATAAAAGCCAGCCATTGCAAACTCTCAGAGACTTTCAGAGAAATATATTAGCTGACAATCCTCTGAATAAATATACTTTTACAACATATAGTTTTATACACTTCCAAAACATATATTTTTACCCATTGGTATATTTTCTTAACAATATACATGGTGAAAAACCCTTCCAGAGCAGTTTATACCACTTTAACGCATTTTTGTTGTTAAATCCTCAATCAAGGATATTTTTCCATTGATTTTTTTAGAGAGAGTGGAAAGGAGAGGGAGAGAAAGAGAGAAAAACATCAATGTGAGAGAGAGCCCCACCGATTGAGCCTACAAGGGCCTGCAACTGAGGTACCTGCCTTTGACTGGAGTCAAACCTGGGGCCCTTCAGGCCATGGGTCAACACTCTATCCACTGAGCCAAACTGGCTAGCGTGAACTCTTTTTTATTGTATTTAATAATATAATCTCTAGTACAGCTATTCTAGTTTATTCAACCTTTCCTCTGTGGATGTGTGTTCACTTTGTTTATGTTTTTTGCCACAACAGATAATGTTTCAATAAGTATTCTTGCATATGTATAGTCTGTATTGGTGTTTTCCTTTCCAGGGGGTAGATTCCCAGGAGTAGGATTTCTGAGTCAAAGGACATAGATTTATTTTAACTTAACAGATATTGTCAGATTGTTTTTTCAAGCGGCTATATATATGCAGGATAGGGCAAAAGTAGGTTTAGAGTTGTTTGTATGGAAAGAATACAACAATTAATAAATAATAATAATACAAGGACAAACTGTCTCTAGTACTCACAACTGTAAACCTACTTTTGCCCCACTCTGTATACACTGTTACCAGCAGTAAATGAGAATTCAGGACCCTAGTTCCATATGCTAATGTGAAGAAAACCCACCTCCAGAGACATTAATTAGCAGGTGTTGGGAGGGACTTGGGAATCTGAATTTTTTTCAAGGCTCTCCGTGTAATTTGATAGAAAGCAAGGTTTGGCAGTCACAGGTTGACCTTGCTGTAGGATTTACCAAGAGGGGGAATAAGGGGCTGGAATCAGGAAAGCTATTTGATGGGACTCCCTTCTACAAATAGCCTCAAATGTAAACTTTCACGTGATCACCAAGTAACATTATAAGTAGCATAGACACCCCAACGAGATTGAAAAAAGAAAATAATTCAACCATAAATTCATGTCTCAGTATCTGTCCATCCCATTCGTAATATTTATCATTTAATAAATTTTTGTTGTTATCACAGTTACATGGTAGAACACTGCCATCTGTGATGGAACATTTTAAATTTAATTAAGTCTATAGCTTATGGATAGCATGTGGCCATCATTCAAACAGTAATTGGAGCAATTCTTTCAGCAATATTATTTTCCTACAAAAAATGTTATTTTTATATCAATCAAAAACACTTAAATGTTTTAATTTTGGGGGTACACAAATTATTATATAGTGTTGGTTAAAGTTATTAGAGGTATTTATTTGCTAAAAGCAACTATTGAATATTCCATGTTTTATAATCATAGGTTGGCATTTCTTCGTTCTTCTCTTTCCTATTCTTCCCTCTCTCCTTCCTAATCTTTTTCAATCCTCTTTCCTCCCAATCTCCTTCTCCCTCTCTCTCCCTTCATCCCTCTTCCCTCTCTCCCTCTTCCCCATCTCCCTCCTCTCCCCCCCTCTCTTTTGTACCTGATCTACCTCCTAGGCCCACCGAGTCATCGCCTGGGACTGTTGCAGCTCCAACATTGGCCACTAGGGGCCCTCTACTACCCTAGCCTGAGAGGAGAAAAAAGTCTTTTATCCAACTTTCTTAACAGAAATGCCATTAATTCTCATGGGTATTTTCAAAAGAACATCCCCAAGTAAACCAAAGGAAAATGTGAAGAAACAAAGAAAAGATGCGCCCAACAGCAAACAGTCGTTTCCAAGGTTAAGAGCACTAAACCCTCCCAGCTTCTCCCTGAGAAAGCTCTCAGGGAGCTAGCTCCTGGTCAACAGCTCAGCTCCCAGCCTGCTCACTTATTCCCCATCGCTCCAGCCCTGGGGGTCTCCGCAGGTCACGACTTTGGCTCCTTCCCTTAGCCCTGCCCATCCCTTCATTTGAGCCACTGGGAAGCGGATTTGATTCCTGCCAGGATCCAAAGTGTCACATGCTCCTTGGTGACACGCTGAAAACAGCTTTTCTCTGTTTGTTTATTTATTTTGGATTTTGTTCGGGGTAATTTTTCATGAAATTATTATTTTTAAATTGTGTACTCAAATTTTTCTTTTCTAGTATTGTTACTTCTGGATGTGGTTTTTAGTTAGGAAAACATTTTCCCACTTTCAGATATAAAGGAATTTAACCTTTTTTCTTCTTCTACAATTTATGTGGGTTTCCTTTTTTAAAAATATATATATTTTATTGATTTTTTACAGAGAGGGAGAGGGATAGAGTTAGAAATATCAATGAGAATCATGGATCAGCTGCCTCTTGCACACCCCCTACTGGAGATGCACCTTCAGCCAAGGTACATACATGCCCTTGTCCGGAATCGAACCTGAGCTAAACCGGTTTCGGCATGGGTTTCCTTTTGACATTTAGATCTCTGACACATTTGGGACTTGTCTTTTACACAAATTCTTATATCACCCCCTGAACACATCTTTCATTGGTTTGGAATACGCCATTTTCTGGGCAGAGGCATAATAATGGTGAAATGATCATCATCACTTATTAGGAAAGTACAGTTTAAGACAGATTCTAATAATAGCAATAATACTAAAATCAATAATAATAGCTAACTTTAACTAGAGCTTGCTAAATTCTAGTCATGTGTCAAGATTTGTGTCATTTAATCCTCATAATTAGTGTTAAAAACAAAATTCTACTGAGTAAGTTTGAAGATCTCCTTGGCTTTATTTTTTTTATTATTTTTTTAAAATATATTTTATTGATTTTTTTACAGAGAGGAAGAGGGAGAGATAGAGAGCTAGAAACGTCCATGAGAAACAGCCGCCTCTTGCACACCCCCTACCGGGAATGTGCCCGCAACCAACGTAAATGCTTCAGCCTGGAATCGAACCCGGGACCTTTCAGTCTGCAGACCGACGCTCTATCCACTGAGCCAAACCGGTTTTGGCTCCTTGGCTTTATTAAGTGACTCATGAACCAGGGTTGTACACAGGGCAGATTTTTATAGGAAGAAGAGTGGGCAAGGGAGCTATTCACAAAGAAAACACAGGTTATGTGGGGACAAAGACATCTTTTTTGGGGGAGAAGAGAACAGGAGGGACTTTATTCAGATTGCCTCTTCTTTCTATGGGGGATGGAGAGGCCCATGTAACAGATTGTCTTGCTGGTGGTTGGCCAGAGAGAATCCAGACTGGTTGATGAAGACTGATTTCTGGGAGATTGAGACAAACAGAGTCCCTTAGCTTGGTTAACCTGACACCATGAGTTCCACTGCTCACAGTGATGTGATTTTCCAAAAAGGATGAACAAGTTTTTTTGTTTTGCTTTGTTTTATTTTTTTGTTAATGCTCACCTGAGGATATTCATTGGTTTTTAGGGAGAGTGGAAGACAGAGGGAACAACAGAGAAACATCAATGTGAGAGAAATACATGGATTGGTTGCCTCCTGCAGGTACTTGCCCTTGACCGGAATCAAACCCGGGGCCCTTTGATCCACAGACCAACAAATACTATCCACTGAGCCAAACCGGCAGGGGCAAAAAATGATGAACAACTCTTGATGAGCTTTGAACAAATCAAAGCACATGTTTTCCTCAGTTTACACAGGAATGGTATTCCTGGATAAACTGGTGTGTAACAAGACCATGCTGAAGAATTTCAGTTTTGGGGGAATCCTTCCAAAGTCATGTGTGTTAATAATATGGATAACTTCCCTAACTGGACACCATGCCCAGAAGTAATAATATCAGCAGAGTGGAATTGCTTTTAATCTTGGACTGTCCCCTGCACTGCACAATGTCTGGTATCCGTGTCCCTACCCACTAAATGCCAGGAGTGTCCTCTAATCATTATGACAACCCCAAAGCACCCCCAGGTCCCCAGAATGTCATATTCAGAGCAGAATTAGATGCTTTCTGCTCCAAATAACAGAAATAAACCCATATATGCTTAATGGATAAATATTTATTGGCTTTCAAAAGTGATTAGTCCAGGGGTACAACTCCAGGGAAGGTTTCACCCAGGGCCACACAGTTCAGCCAGCATCTAATTTTTCCTATTTTCTCACCTCCCTCCCCTTTTCTGTACTCGGCTTCCTAAATTTTGGTTCCACCCAGTATTCTCGGCAAAATGTCCTCCAAGCTTCGTCTGACCAGTCTCCACCTCTCAATTGACCACGTGGCTGAAAAAGATGAGAAATGTGGGCAATCAGGGCCCTCCCTGGAACCAGGGGGGACGTCACTGCTAGGCAGACTCCATAGCAGATCCCCAGAGGGAAACAATGTTTTTCCCAAAGGAAACGATGGGTGCTGAGCAGATAGCAGCTGTCCCCAATTTCTGCAGATAGGCTCTCTGGGAATGGGTCCTGAAACTCAGCATTTTAACAAACTTCCCAAGCGTTTCTTTTAATTGTAAAACAGCTTTTGTGGAGACATAATTTAAATCCCCATGAGGGTTCTGATTTCTCCACACCTTCCACGGTACTTGTCATTGACCTCTTTATTATGGTCATCAATGAGGGTATGAAGTGAACTTGTTTTTGTTTTACTGACTGATGGATTGATTATTAGAGAGAGAGGAAGGGAGAGAGAAAAGCAGTGAATTATTGTTCCACTTATTTATGCATTCATTGGTTGCTTCTTGTATGTGCCCTGACCAGGGATCGGACCTGCAAACTTGGTGTATGAGGACGATGCTGTGACCAATGCAGCTACCAGGTAAGGGCTAAAAGTGTTGTTTTGAGATGCATTTCCCTAATAGCCAGGGATGTCCAGCAGTTTGTTCTGTGCTTAATGGCCATTGGTACATCTTCTTGGAAGAAATGTCTGCTCAGATCTTTTGCCTATTTTTATTTTATATATATATTTTAATATATTTTATTGATTTTTTACAGAGAGGAAGGGTCACAGAGTCAGAAACATCATCAATGAGAAACATCGATCAACTGCCTCTTGCACGCCCCCTACTGGGGCTGTGCCCGAAACCAAGGTACATGCCCTTGACCTGAATCAAACCTGGGACTCTTCAGTCTGCAGGCCAACACTCTATCCACTGAGTCAAACTGGTTTTGGCTCTTTGACCATTTTTAAAGTGGGTTGTTTATCTTTTTATTATTGAGTTGTAGTTCTTTATATATTCTGGATGCAAGTCCCTTATCAGATATGGTGAATTGAAAATATTTTATCCCATTTTGTGAGCTTCCTCGTGGTCTCCTTGGAAGCATTAAAGCTTTTAATTTTAATAAAAATTCAAGATATCCAACTTCTCTTTTAATTACTTGTGCCTTTGGTGTTGTATCTAAGAAACTCCAAGAGATACTTATATATCCAAAAGTTTGAGAACCAGAGGTCTTTGAAGACATGCTTTTATTTATTTCCATTTTTTAAAATTTATTTAAAATGTGTAATAGGTTTAGGCCCTGATTTTGCTTTGGCTAGTTTTATGTGGATTGTGGGATTGAAAAGGTACTTTGTACCAAAGATGTCTCATCAAATGTCAATTCCTCATGAGCATTTAGGGTTCACTTGAGCAAAACCTCTCATTATTTTAGTTCAGAAGTCTTTGGAGGGGAGGAGGTACTCCGAAGGGGAATGGCTTATGAAATTGATCTGAGAAAGGAGAATTATTTAAAATCTTTCAATAAATTTTTTGGAAAAAAAAAATTCTTGCTCAAATCAATGTTGTTTTTCACACAACTGTCACCTATACAGCGATATATAGTGGAATCATTACTTAAATAATTTTTGTTTTGTCTGCCTTTGACTGAATATTGTTCATGGCTCAATATTAGCTCTAGAGGAAATAAAAACCAATCTTAAGAGCAACTGGAAAGATGCACTTGTTGGCAGCAATTTCTATCCTAGAATGTACAGCAAGTTCTGAGCTGTTGAGCGATGGGAAGAAAAACCTTTGTGATAAATAATATATTTGATAATGAGCAGCAGAAGGAACAAATGTTTTCATCTGAAGAGTTCACAATGGAACCAAGTACGGGATGGGCAGTTTTTGCATCATGGGTGGATATGGAGCCCAAAGAGCCATAATTGTGTTACAGAAAACCGGAGAAGAGCCACGCAATACTTAGAGAGACGGAGTTACATTTATTATGCGCGGGTCCAGAGGAAAATGTCTCTCAAATTCTGGGCCTCCACATGGAGGAACTTTCCCTATTTACATGTTTTTACCTTCTTTGTCTCCCAATATGGGGTGTTTCCACCCCCCTTTGCAAGTTCTTAGAGAGCCCCTGTGTGCTGGGGCCTTGAGACCTCAACCAAAGGCCTGGCCTGGCGCCAGCACTGATAACTTCGTCTGGGGAAGGTTTAATGGCCTCACTGAAATGGGAGTAGTGTTATTTTCCTTATTATTTAAGCAAACAAGCATTTACAGAAGCCAAATAGCAGGGTTAAAATCTCAGACAGCAGTTTTATATAAAATATAAAGATGCTTCCATTGTACAATAGATTCTCATTCTCGCCATGTTAACTTATGGCATATATTTTCAGACCTTTCTCTAATTCCAATTTTCAAAGGGGCTCAGCTCTCAGGTTCTATGGCACTAGGGGCTTTACTGACATTATCTCAACTCATCTTTTAAAGTCTACAAATAGGCAGGCAGGAGTGTGCACAGATGATGCCCGACAAAGCCGAGGTTCAGAAAGGCTAAATAACTCCCCCCAAGGTCCCAAGTCTTTGCCAGTGTTGGAATCAGTGCAAATTTAAAAAAATCATAACAACTAGGGATTTCAGAATAAAGGGATAAACTGCTCTGGAGAGCAGACTGCTGGGATCCGTCAGCACCTGGCTGGCTGGTGACCTGGCCTCAGGAGCTTCCGCTCGGTTTCTGACCAAATGAAGCAGCTGAACCCTCGGGAGTGCTCAGCCACCCAGTCACTCTCTCCCCCCATTGCCCGGGTGTCCCCAAAGACAAGCGGGGTGCTTGGCAGGTGCTCCAGAGTCAATTACCGCCCTAAACGCCGCCTCCGTGGCCTAATAACAAGAAAGCGGTTCCCACAGGGCCAGTCTGCAGACAAGGGAACAATCAATGCATGCATCAAAGACGGGTTTCTGGGGAATTTGAATCCTGCTCCAGGGACAGTATTCATTTCCCCTGGAGTTTGAACTTAACTTCCCACCCGATTCCAGGCTGCTCTGTTGCTCTCTTCTTCCCTCCTCCTCCCTCCCTCCCTCCCTTTCTAAAGCAGTTTTACTGTTGGCTCGCACGTCCCGTCCTCTGGGGGTAAGTTTTCTGCGTAGAAAACGCAGGAGAGGACAGAGACCTTCAGAGGAGGCTCCGTTCTGTGCTGGGACCGGAGCGCCAGGCTGAGTGCATCAGAGAGAGGGGAGCAGCGGGTAAACACCCTCCCCCCCACCCCATGCGGGTCCCTCCGGCGGGCAGGCTTCGGGCGGCTCCTGAGATGCTCCCGGGCCGGGGCCGGGACCGGGCCGCCCCGGGCGGACACTCGCTGCGGGCGGATGAATGAGAGGTGAGCGGGGAGGATGCAGGCGTCCGGGGAGACCTGGGGAGGCGCGGGGGCTGCGCCCGGAAGAGCCCGAAAGTCTGAGCGCGAAGCCCGGGCAGCGGAGAGGGCGTCCCGGAGGGGAAGCGGGCTGGGGGGACGGGACGACCGGGAAGGCCGGGCCTCGGGGTGTGCGGGTGCCGAGGGGGCGAGCCGGGAGGCGAGGGCGAGACAAAGAGCCGCCGCCGCCGGGCCGATCGGGGAGGAGAGGGGAAGGGGGGCGGGGGCGGGCGGCCGGCAGGAAGGGGCGGCGGAGCCGGAGGGCAGCGCCGGGGGGGGGGGGGGGGGGGCGCGGAGTTCCCGGCCTGCGCCCCGCGGCCCGCGTGCGGCGGCCGGGCGGGCGGAGCGGGCGGGATCGGGGCTGAAACCCGAAACCTCGGCCCCGCGCGGCAGGAGGACGGAAGCGGCGGCGGCCGGGCGGGCGGCGGCCCCTCGGTGAGCGGGGGGCGCGGGCGGGGCGGGCGGGCGGGATGGATCGCGGCCGGGGCGGGGGTGCAGGGCGCGGGCGGGGCGTGGGCCGGGGGTCCCCGCACCTCCCCCCACCCCTCTCGGAGGCAGGACGGTCCCCGCGGCCGCACCCGCCGGGCTCGGGGAGCCCGCGTTCTTTGTGGGAGATCTGGGGGGCGCGCCCTCCCGGCACCGGGGCTTCCCGGGGGCCCTGCCCGCAGCCTCGCCCCGCATCCCCGGCGCCGCCGCAGCCGCTGCGGGACCCGGGAGAGCGGGCGGCGGTGCGCGCCCGGGGCCGGCTCACGGGGGCCGTGCGCCCCAGCCGAGGGCCCGGGCCCGGCTCGGGGACAGGTGTGCGGGGCCGGCGGCCTCCTCCTGCGCGGGACCCGGAGGACCCGGTGAGAGCATCCTCCGCGGGGTTCGGGGCGCCTGGCGGGGGGCGCGCCCAGGAGTCTCCGGCCGCCCTGGCGCCGCGGGGCGGGGCGGGGGGGCGCCTCTGCCCCTCCGATCTGCGAGGGGCCGGTCCGGCTGGCTTCGGGGGGGGGGGGACTTGGCCGGCCTGCTGCTCCTCCTGGGTCAGAGCTGAGCGCCGTGCCGCCTCGGACAAAGGCCTGCGGGGAGAAGCCTGCGGGCTGGCGGCCGGGGTCTGGGAGTGCTGCTCCGGCATCTGCGCTCCGGGCACCGCGCCGCCGGCTGGCACCGCTCCGGGCACAGCGCCGAGCTCTGTCCGTGCGTTCTTTGCCTTTGGTCAGTTTTGGGAAGTGCTTTCAAGATCGGTCATTGGACGGGAGGTGTGTGGCTTTGGAGGGAAAGGACCTCCATTCCTGGGTGAGTTCAGTGAGGGTAAGTTACGTGGGCCGGCGGTGTCCTGAGCTGGAGGCTGGGAGGACCGGCCGAAGGGCGCCTCCTCCCATCCAGCGGCCTCCTCCCCTGCGAGCTGGTCCTGGTCCAGCCTGGGGAGAGCTCAGCATCCCTGGGAAGCACCTCCCGCAGCCCCCAGGGAGACCGCGGGGGGAGGCCGGAGCAGCAGGAGGGGGTGAGGGAGGGACCCAGGTCACACCGAGCAAACTCTGCACCGAACTCTCTTCACCTGGGATTCCTCCGCCCCTGTGCGCACTTCTCCAGAACACACTTCTCTGTCCAGGGCCACACCCAGCTTATTTTACACGTAGAAGAGCTGACAAGCACTTTCAGACACTTTTTGTTTCCTTCACCTGACAGCCCTGAGGAGTTCACTGAGACTGGGGAGATGAAGTTCTCTGTCTAGCAAACGGGAGCCACCATGAAAGTCAGGTCTTCTGAGCGGCTCCATCACAGCCCTGGCCCCGGACTCGGGACCGGCCCTGTCCTGCTCCACCGCTCAGCAGGTTAGGCCCCTCACGTAGAGGCCTACTGAGCTTTTCAGCAACAAATCCAAGGCCTCAGACCCTCAAACCCTCCGGGTTCATTGCAGCCCCTGGCAGTGGGAATATGCGAGGCGAATGAGGCATGTGGTCAGGGGGGCTGAGGAAGGCAGAAACGGGCTGAACTGAAACAGGCCTAAGTGCCAGTCAAAGGAGGTTTGGTTCTGTGTCGTGTGAACTCAGTGCTGGGGGGGAAGGGGGGTTGTCAGGAGGCTGCTGCGGGAGGAGACCAGGCAGGGGGGCTGTGTGTGTGTGTGTGTATGTGTGTGTGTGTGTGTGTGTGTGTATGTGTGGTGTGTGGTGTGTGTGTGTGTGTGGGGGGGTAATGCCTCCAGTAAAGGGGCAGGAGCAGGGGCCGGGTAGGGGCAGGTGCATCAAGGCTCCAGCACAGTGCTCCCTGCCTTCAGGGGGAGCTGTGCATTTTTAAGTATATTTTTATTGATTTCATAGAGAAAGGGAGAGGGAGAGAGATATAGAAACATCAATGATGAGTGAGAATCATTTACCAGCCGCCTCCTGCATGCCCCCCACTGGGGATCGAGCCTGCAACCTGGGCAGATGCCCTTGACCGGAATCGAATCCAGGACCCTTCAGATGGAGCAGGCTGATGCTCTATCCACTGAGCCAAACCAGCTAGGGCGGGAGCTGTACATTTTTTTATGGGGGGAAAAGCTCCATGTTTTTTAAGTTGACAACTAATTCAAAACACTTCCCATGATGTGCAGACTTGCACCCTCTGCATTGGCCCTCAGGAGGCACTTAGGAGACAAGCGGACATCCCTGAGGTGAGAAGCAATGTTTCCTCTTCTCGATGTTTTTCTTTGAGAACAACCACCCCAGAAAACCATCCCAAAACTGGAGGTAGCGGTCAGCTCTCTGCAATTTGGAGGAAGGACTGGCTTTGTGACTCAATTTCACCATTAAGTCTCCCCCACCCCCACCCCCAGTTTTTCATGGAATTGTTTGTGATTCCATCTATTTGTGAGGCTCTGACTAAATTCTGGAGTTTAATCCTTTTCTTGTTAGTAAGTCAAACATCTTGCCTTTTATGTTTTCTCCAACTTTGTTTATTGTACCTTTGTGCAGGGTATTTATCTTTTAGGTGGTTAAATCTATATTGATTTTTTTTTTTTTTTTTAGTGGCTTCACATTTTCTTTTCTTTTTAAAAAAATATATTTTATTGATTTTTTTTTTTTTTTACAGAGAGGGAGAAGGATAGAGAGTTAGAAACATGGATAAGAGCGAAACATCGATCAGCTGCCTCCTGCACACCTCCCACTGGGGATGTGCCTACAACCCAGGTATATGCCCTTGACCCGAATCGAACCTGGGACCCTTCAGTCTGCAGGCCGACGCTCTAACCACTGAGCAAACTGGTTATCACATTTTCTTGATTAGGAAATCCTCTCTCTCAATATTAAATTTTCCCTCCATTTTTCTTTGATACTGTTTATTTACATATATTTTAAATTACTGCTTTTCTTACTTTCAGTTTCTTTCCTCCCTGGTTCCAGGCTTGACTTGATCCGTGAGCCCCGTTAGCCAGTGTGACATGTATAATTTCTTTAATTTTCATAGCGACTTCTTTTTTTTACCAAGTTGAATTTTTTTTAGTTCTGCATCCTTTCTTCAATTTAATGTTTAAAGAAATGGCAGAGAGGTTATCTCTTCCACAAATAACTAAAATGAGCAAAGAAGCAGCTACCTGAGTAACATAGGAAATCCATAGGAAAATCTGTGATGACAGAAGTAATTGCCAGGCCAGGGGGGAGCAATACCAAGAACATTCTCACCTAATTTAAACTCCAGTCTGATTCTCCACGTCTTTAGGATGCGCTCTTCCGCAGGTGGGAGAAGGGCAGGAAGGACATCTGGATGACAGCATCATCATGCCCCGGCTGGTTTAGCTCACTGGATAGAGCGTCAGCCTGTGGACTGAGGTGTCCCAGGTTCTATTCCAGCCAAGGGCACATGCCTGCACTGCAGGCTCGGTCACTAGTGGGGGGCATGCAGGAGGCAGCTGATCAATGATTCTCTCTCATTATGGATGTTTCTATCTTTCTCTCCCTCTTCTCTAAAATCAATAAAATATCTTTGAAGGAAAAAAGAGAAAGAGAGAGAGCGAGCGAGCGAGAGCATCGTCATGTGCAAAGTCACGGACGTGGAGGAGGAGAGTGAGCCGGGTAGCCGAAGTGGAGGGTCCCGCCAGTGAATACATCCTACGGGTGCCAGAGAATGACATGGCACCTTCAGGCTTGCCAGGGGACTGGCAGCCTGGCAGCAGGTTGGAGTGGGGTGAGGTCAGAGATATGACGAGATGGGAATGTCTGGGAGTCCCTGGGGAAGACCGGGGTGCTCTGAGCTGGGGCAGTGGCAGAGAGGATGCGGTTTTGAGTGAGAAGTTAGTGATGCGCTCAGTGTCTGGGATAGGAGTGGAACCGGCCAACGCCTTACATACGCGATTTTCCTGAGGTCAGTGTGGAAATCCAGGGCTCACTCATCTACGGCCACACAGAGGGCTTTCCAGGGCAGGAATGCCTGGCAGGAGGAGTCTGGGCATCCAGATGTCTGACTTGAGTGATGGAGTGGGCGGTGCTCTTTCGACGGCAGGGAGAACCGTGAAGAACTGCATGTGGAGCTGGCAGGGCAGGCGTGATGGATCCCATCTGCACATGCCCCCCAGGTGCCTGGCGTGACAGCCGGGCGGACATCCACCCGGTGTGGCTAAGAGGCTGGAGCTCCAGTTGTCTGGGTTATATTAGATATTGAAATAGATGGAGGCTCGGGATGGTCTTTGTTTGAGGAGGTGCAGAGGGAGCTTAAAGACAGAGATTGCGATATCAAATCCGACTCTATTTTCAGGTACAGTTTGCATTTGATATTATTTTGTATTCAATCTTCAGGGTGGTTAGACAGTCATGTACTTTACACAGTGGAAATTGGATTTTTTTTTTTTTTTTAAGAGATACAAACTCCAGTTGAAATTGACTTAAGCGAAAGGAAAGTTATTGCTCATGCCCCTGAGGAGGGCAGGGTCTGCTTGGCTCCAGGCAGGGGTCCAGGCTGAGTCATTTCATGGGGTCTCCTTTTCCTACGTCCTTGTCCCGGGCCGTCCCCGGAGGAAGCTGTCTTTCTCCCGTCTGTCCCCGCAACAGTCTCATCCTATCTCAGAGCGGATGGGCGGTGGGAGCGGGGATGTGACTGGGAAGGCGTTCGGTGGTGTGTCACATCCACCAAGGCACAGGGACTCACTATGGGAAGGGGGACTCCACAGAGGAAGCTCGGGGCAGCTATGGGAGCAGGGGGGAGGGAGGTAGAGGAGGCAGGCATTTCATTTCCCAGTTGAGAAAGTGGATGAGAAAGGAGGGCGTGCCCCAGAGGGAAATGGGAACACTTACAGGGCGGGATGATTATGGCAAATGGGGCTGCTCAGGAGGTAAATGGGGCTGGTCCGGAGGTAAATGGGGGGGTTGGGAGGTAAACGGGGGTGGTCTGGAGGTAACCGGGGCTGGTCAGGAGGTAAATGGGGGGTCCAGAGGTAAATGGGGCTGGTCAGGAGGTAAACAGGGCTGGTCAGGAGGTAAACGGGGCTGGTCTAGAGGTAAATGGGGGGTCCAGAGGTAAATGGGGCTGGTCAGGAGGTAAATGGGGGGGTTGGGAGGTAAACGGGGGTGGTCTGGAGGTAAACGGGGCTGGTCAGGAGGTAAATGGGGGGTCCGGAGGTAAATGGGTTGGTTGGGAGGTAAATGGGGGAGTCAGGAGGTAAACGGGGGTGGTCTGGAGGTAAATGGGGCTGGTCCAGAGGTAAATGGGGTGCTTGGGAGGTAAATGGGGGGGTCAGGAGGTAAATGGGGGGCTCAGGAGCGAAGGAGGGAGCTGTCAGAGGGAGCAGGTCGGGGAGCCGGGCAGCAGGGAGGCGCAGGCAGAAAGGGAAGCGGTGGAAGGCGCCCTGCGGCAGAGCTCAAGGAAGGGCGGCTGGCTTCGGCTGGGAGGC